CCCCCGGGCGGCTGCAAAGCCGTGGCTGCATATTTCCAGGCGCTCCTTGTCCCCGGGGAAGGGGAATGCGAGGAACGCGGCCCCGCGCACCCTGCCTGCTCCTGCCCGGCCACCCGCCGGCTAAGAATAGACCTGGCTTGGCTGGGCCCCCGCCAGCACCGAGCGGCCGCGGGGTGTGGGAACCCCCCAGCCACCCTCCTGCAGCGGATAATGAACATTAAAAAAATTGAAAATGGGTTTCTGCATTGCCCAAAGGGTCCCCGAGACGGCAAAAGGAACTCAGGGTGTTTCTTTAAATTTGCATGATTTTAAAGCAAATCTCCACTCTGGGACCCTCGTGCACAGGCAGGGTGGTGCAGGGCAGCCCCCCGCAAGCCTGGGGTACCTGCTGCTTTCTCAGCTCCCCTTTGAGGAGTTACATGAATTGAGGAGGAATCTCCTCTTTCTTCTGCTCTTTTCTTTTCTTTTTTTCTCCTTAGGGAGTAATTTTGCTAAGCCTCCTAATTTCAACAGAAAGCATGATGCAGGAGCCAGAAGGCAGCAAAATCTCTCCAGATGTTATCGCAATCGGGAAGGGAAATCATCCTCATTTTAAAGGTATCTTGTAAAACATTGCTGCCGGCTTGGCAGAGCCCTCAGGGCACCAGCAGCCTTCATTGGCCTGAAAAGCTTCACCTGGGCACCTCCGCCCAGCAGCTCCATTTAAGGTCAGGGTGGGACCCTCAGCCTCTCCCTGAGCTTGGCTGGGCACAACCTTGCATCCAGCCCCATCTCCTGGGTGGAGCCTTGGACCTGTGCTGAAGGTAGCTTGGTGTCAAGTCCTGTCTTCTGGATGGGCTGTGGGCTTGGGTTGTCTATCTGTCTTAGAGCAGGAGGCTGCAGTTTAGTGCACTTATCACTCACCCTTGTAGCAGTGTCCATTCCAGGACAGAGTCAGCTCCTATGTGGATTCTCTGATGTTTAATTAGGGCTGAGCTTGTGTTGCAGTCCCTGAGTGAGAGTGTTCAGCGTGGCTCTTTTTTTCTTTCCTTTTCCTCCAGAAAGCAATTTTCATTAAACTTGTAGGATCTTGATGATCTTGGAAATCTCTTTTCCTTTGCTAATGGGGCAAAAAAGAGCCGAGGGGCTCAAAATTGCCAGTGAGGAGCTGAGCTGGATGGAGCACACCTGCACCAGCCTGCTTTCCCAGGCTGAAAATATATTTGGCTTGAAACCCAGCTCTCACCGTGCCAGGTCTCTGCTCCATGAGCGTTGCACTGCCGGGAAGGGGGGAGAGGACAGTGCCCGGTGTGCCAGGATATAAAACAGATGCATCAGGATACGGCCGTGGGAAGAACGTGGGGCGAGCACAGGCGTCTGGGGCGGCTGCTCCCCAGGTCGGTGGATCACGGCAGAAAGACAAGTGCTTGGGGTTTCACGTCCCTGTGGGCGTGCTGTGCTCGGAGGAGGTTTGGAAGCAAACAAAAACCAAGCGTGGGTGGCAGACACCTGCCTTCTGCTCCTGTCCTGGGTGCAGTGAGCCTCTCCCGGGCCTCCGTTTCCCCATGTAAGACATGACCAAAGGCAGAGGCCATCAGATGGGAGGGGCAAGGGTGGATCATTCCAGATCCCCTCATTTCCCCTGCTGCTCCGGACTGCAGCAGATCACAGCTCTTTAAGGCTGCAATAATCCCCAGCCTGGGATTAGTTTTGCACCTAATCACTGCAGAACAAATATGAAGTTTTATTTACAGAAGCAGAAGAAAGATGGGGGGGGGGGGCAGAAAAAAGCCTCAAGCATGGCTGATCCCAAGATAATCAGGAGCTGGAGGACAGGAGGTGATCGCTGACCCCAGAGCCCCCCTGGCTCTTACATAAACACGTGTCATTCCTGTGCTGGAACCACAGCAGCCGAGAGCTCCAGCCCTGTCCCAGCTTGGTCTTGGTGACCCCCCCCAACCATTTGAACAGTTCAGGCCTGGACTTTGGGGATTTCTCACCCCGATTCAGCCCCTTCCTTAGGCATGTGCTCCATGGTGAACCCACAAGCTGTCAGCTGCGATGGGAGCTGTGGCTTAGGAGAGGATGGGGATGCTGCAAGGGGATGCTGAGCTTTCATGATGGGGATCGGGGAGGTTGGGTGCTGCAGGTGTGTTGCCCCAAAGTCAGGCTGGTCCCCAGGGGTTTGTAGCTGCACTAGCTTGGGGTGGCAGCTCTCCTGCTTGAGAGCCCTGTCCCATTAAGATTGGACCCCACCCGCAAGAAGGAGCTGAGCTGCTGCTCTGGGGGTGACAAGACATAGGTTTATTTTTCATCCATGCAAGTCAACAGCCTAGCAGTGGGCAAACCAGGGGTGGGAACATGCTCCGTCCCTCCCCAAACTGCCCTCTATCACTTGAAGTCCCTGTGTCTTTGCCCACAGGTTGGAGATGGCTGGTGGGTGCCCAGGCTGGACCAGCTCCCAGCCCTGGGTGCACGGGCAGCCCATGATGGCTCTGTGCCTACCGGTGCCTGAATTTCTCTTCCCCTGATGCAGACGTTGACAAATAAATAGCTCTTTTCTGCTTTGGCTCTTGCATAGTGGAAAAAAATGCCTGACCTGATTGGAGAGAGGAGTCCTGGGCTGTGGAAACCCATGGCTTCATTGGCAAATATGCCCATGGCAACGCTGCCAGCCTGCCCAAATGCCCATGCTTGCACCCTGTCCATGCTTCCCCTGCTGATGGCTGCCTTATTTCAGTTCCATTTCTGAGCTGGATTTGAAGGCCTTTTTCCTGGCTAAGAAGAACTTGATGCCCAAGAAGATGGTGGTGATCAGGAAGATGAGTGCCAGGGCAAGCAGAACCCAGCTGCCTGCTGTGACTTGATTGCCAGCTAGGGACATGCCCAGGAAATCGGTCCGGCTGGGGCTGGCTTGGGCTGGAGTGGCTGGAAAATAGAGAAATAAGGGACATGGTTGGTACTGGTGGCTATGGACTGGGGTGTGTTGGGTCACTAGCTCTCCCTTTGCTGGTCTTTTGGATGCCATGTTTTCTTTAGTCTCAGCTCCATGGGAAATCAAGAAGCATCCAAATACCCTGTGTTTTTTGGGGTGGCCAAGGGGCACCAAGATAGCTCCATCTCTCCCATGTGCCCCATCCTGGCCCTGGTGAGGGCTGAGCTCTGCTCCATCATGGACCTGCTGTGTTTGTCTGACCCCTACATACCTGTGTAAGGAGTCCAGCTGTACTCAGGCCAGCCCAGGACCTCCCCATTCTTCTCGTTCTCCTTCACCAGCCACGTCATAAGCGGCTCAAAGTAGCTCATCAGGGCATCAGCTGACATGTTGGGCTGCCCCGTGATGAGCGCCATGGCTTCGGGCCACGGCTTGCTGAAACCCAGCTTCAGGGCCTCCCTGTGGCAGGAGAAATCAGCTCCAGTGGGTTCCCCATCGCCCTCTTGGTCACCAGCCCTTCCCTTTTCCCCAGCATTTGGGGCTTTTGGCATCAGCAACCCTCGGTACAGTCTATGCCCCCAGCACCGTGGGGCTGCCAGCCCAGAGCACAGGGAAGGAGGTTTTTCTTGGGGGAGAGGGGGGGGGTTTACATGGATTAAAGCCCTGCAGTGAATCCAGCCTGATGCAGAGCAGTTTCTGGGTGAAAGGGTTAATTTTGCAGGTGCTTTTCTTGAAGCAAGGGGGTTGTTTCCCTAAGGAATAGGGGGCTGCGGAGGAGGAGGAGGGAGGGAGCCTTCCACCTGCCAGGGTCCCAGCTACCATCTAGTGGCTGCTTTTGCAATCACAGCCCTAGGACCCAGCTCAAAGTGCCCCTGCCCGGGGTTCCCCCCTGCCCGCACCCCAGCGCCAGGGACCAGAGCATCCCATGCTGAGGCAGGGAAGGGATGGATAACCAGGAGCTGCATTGCCTCCTGTCTTGCTGGGCTGGCTTTAAGGTATTTGGGGACATAAATGTCTTGGCTCTGCCTTGCCCACACACCTACCCCAAAATCTTCCCAGCTTCCTTGGACTGGTAGATGTCACACGTGTGCAGGGGACCCGTGTGCCCAGCTGCTGCACAGAGTGCCTGGTGGAACTGGAACTGGATCACAAAGCTGACAAAGTACCTGGTACGGTGGAGAGAAGTGAGGACATGGGAATGGACCCTACTAGTGGCTGTGCAAAGGAGGATGTGGTCCCTCTTATCCCCTGGTTGCACCTTCCCAGTCTGGAGGAGCATCACTGGCTTTGGAGCTACACCTGCATCAACTCAGTCCAACCTGCTGATGCCATTTCTCCTTTAACATGTGTTTTATGGCTGCCTGGGTGGATGAGCCCATCTTCCTTGGATAGGGAGAAATTCCCCCAAATCCAGGTTTCCTCTCCGAGGCTCTGTCAGAGTCCCTGAAGCTGCCCAGCGCCCTCAGGATAGTACCACCAAGTATCCCACCAGCCATGAAACAAGGTGCCATCGCTGGCATCTGAACTGGAGATGCTGCTTCTGTGTCCAAGTGGTTTCCCCCCTGCCCCAGCCCTGCTTACTCACCTAATGTAGGGGACATTGGCAGGGATGTGAAACTTTGCCCCAGGGTCAAAGTCATCTTCAGACCTTGGTGCTGGTGGGCACAAGCCCTGGTACTTCATCCTGGGCCAAAGAGGGAGAGTTAGCCCAGCATGGGGAGGAGAAGGTGGGGTAAGCTGGGAGGGGACACAGTGGGGTGTGAGGACAGGGTGAGGGGTTATGTATCTCATCGTGTCCCATTGCAGCCAACTGGACCACAGGGAGAAAACATGCAGCGGGATGATGGCCAAGGCCCTTGCACCAAAGAGGGATCTGAATTCAAGCACACCTGAGATTCCACCACTGCTGGTTGTACTCATCCTCCTTGATCCGCCCATCAAACACCTTCCAGCGCCACTGGTCCATGAGGTACCCGAAGGGCAGGAAGGCGATTTTGTCCAGGGCGATGCTCATCAGGTAGTTAATATCACTTTCTGCCCAGGGTGTGAAGGTGTGAGTGAGGCAGTACTGTACCCACCTCTCCACCTTGTATGGGTCATTCTGACCAAGAGCAGGGTGTCCCCACCAGATCCTGTCCCCTCCATGCATGCAAAACCACCATGCATGTCCCTGACCCCTTCCACCCTGCCCATCCCATCTTGTCCCTCTACATTTCCAGCTGTCCCCAGCAGTGCCCCCATCTTTGCTGTGTGGTGCTCCCCTGCCAGCTCACCTTTGTTGTCTGTGACTTGGTCCAGCAGATTGATGCTGTGAAGGTGTTTGGGGGTGGAGACGGACAAGGCCATGACGTCGCCGACAGCCTCGTGGAAGCCAGGATTGGCCCCATCGCGGAATGAGATGGGCTGGTCCATGTACTGCAGGAAGTACTGGACGTGGCCCATCTCATGGTGCACCGTGATTAGGTCGTCCATGTTCACCACGGTGCATTGCTTGATCCTGGACCAGGACATGTGGAATGGGGGGAGAAGGGAGGGCAGTGCTGGGGTGAAAATCTCCAGGAACAATCACACCCCCTTGAGCTATTTTTCCCTTTGGTCTCCGTTTTCATGTGCCTCCACCCCACATCTGATGCCAGGCCAGGCTGGTCCTACTCCATTGGGTTGGTCTCTCTCTTTTCTCCTGCATCTCCTGCTGCCCCTGCCCATTCCCTGTCCTTGTTCATTGGCTTTTCCATTCTCCATGGCAGGGCAGGGAAGGCATTGCTTGCCCTCCATCCACCACGGGGGTTCCTGCCAGCAATGACATGTGGGTGGCCACATGCCCTTATTGTACCAAGACATTGCTATCTGCCCCAGCACCACATCAGCTGAGACCACCACTTGCTCCCCACGAGCACCTGAAGTCCTTGCGGTTGTAGAAGTCCCAGGCTGAGGCGTGACACACCACCTCCCGCCCATCTGCCGGCTTCTCGATCATGGACTTGTCCCAGAACTCTTGCGGCATGGGGATGAGGCCCAGAGAGGTAAAGAAACGGTCTGACTCTTCAAACATCTTCTTGGGTGTCCAGCCCTGGGGAGAGAGCAGACAGAGGACCTGGTGAGGGGCAATGGGGAATGCTAGGGGTGGCAAGGGCTGGGAAGGATGGGAGGCCAGGGACAGCCTTGTTCCTCTGTGCAGGGGATGTCTTTTGGGAGCAGCTGGAGCTGGATCCAGCCCTTGGCATCTCCAGGTGGGAAGAGAATACGGATGAGCCATGAAGGTTTTTGGCAGCACCAGAGCATTTGGCAACAAGGGTGGTGGCAACAGCCAAAGCTTGCTGGGTCCCAAGGGGCTTCCCCAGAGCAGCCTGGAAAAGCACTGACCTGTTGTTTCATGGCTGGGGTGGCATCCACCTTGGTGGCATCCGGGAAAGGTATCACCAGGTCGAAAATGTTGGACCATGACTGGGCCCACATGTTGCCTGGGAAGCACAGGAGGACAACACGTGGCAGGAGGGACACAGGGAGAGAAGAGCAAAGGCAACCAGTTACTCCCAACTCCTGCACAGAGTGGATCACCCTGCCTGGTCCCTGCCCTGCCCTGCCCTGCCTGCACAAGGGTAATGCAAGCAGGAGCCCGCCCATGCAGGAGAGGTCCAGTCATACTGTGTGTGTTACCCTTCCCTGGGGCAGCCTGGCTTCTGCAGACCCATCTCATGGGGCCTTGGCCCTTCAGCCAGAGCTGAACAGAGACCAGTCTCAACTCTTGGCATGACTTGGAGCAAACTAAAGCCTGGTGGGAGACACGGTTCTGCTTGAGGGCCTAGCAAAGCCCTTACCTAGCAGGTGAGCAGGAATAGCCCTTACCTAGCAGCTGAGCGGGAATGGGACCCTTCAGGTTTATGCGCTCTGCACCATACTTTTTGTATAGGGCTCGGCGTACGTAGGCATGCAGGTTGAGGTACAGGGGCTGTAGCTGCAGGTACAACCTCTCCAGATCTTCCTCGAAGGTGGGTGTCTCATACAAGGATCTCCAGTAGGCCCCGTTGTCCGTGTAGCCTGTGGTAACGAAAGGGTAAAAGCTGTTAGATGCTGTCCTTCTTGGGCAAGAGTCTGTCTTGCTGCTCAGACACCCCAAGTCCCTCCCTATCGATGAGACTAGATCTCACGGGAGTTGGTGGGACCTCCACACCCTCAAGATTTTAGCCCTGAGTTGGACAATCAGTCCAATCCTCTGCTTACAGGGTGCTGAGACCATGGTAGGTCTCTAAGGGAGTGGGACACTGACCATTGAGCATGGCTGCCTTGTTGCTCAGTTCCACGTATCGCTTGTAGTTGTTCTTGATCTTCTTCCCAGAAGCATCCCGCCAGCCCTTCCAGGCAAAGAGGAGCTCATCATAGTCCCGTGAAGTGGCCATGATGTCTGTGAGGTCTGAAGAGAGAGAAATGAAGCCAAAGTGATGCTGTTGGATGGGCTGGACTGATGCAATGGTGCTAGACCCAACGTGCTGCTCAGGGGCCATCACAGAGAAGGTGAGAAGGCCCCTTCATGACCTTTCTCCATGTCCCTATTAAAAAATCCCTCCTTTCTGGGCCTGTTGCAGATGACTCACTGGACACCCTGCCAGATCTTACCAGGATCCAAGGGGTGACAGGTATTGTTCTCTCTGCAGACCTTGGCTACGCTGTATGTGGTTTCCATATCTGAGAGGAGGGTGTTGTACTGTAAAGAAAAATCAGATCATGTAAGATGGTTATCCTTGCTTCTGCTCTTGGAGAATGTCACAGCCCATTGAGATGTCCTCAGGTGTTTTCCTCTGGTCCCTTCGAAGGCCAAGTGTGACCCCAAATGGAGGCGAAGTGGAGTCAATACAGGAGGGAGTAGGGCCAGCAAGCAACGTGCCATTGCCACCCAAGCAGCCAGGCCCTGCTGCAGCCTGGGATAGGCAACCTTTGGGTGGGAAATCCTGGAGGCAAGGATCGTGGCTTTGTGTAGATGGTACCAAACTATCACCTTGTTCAAGGGCAAGAGGTGGCTGCCCAGTGGCATTTCCTAAAAGTTGGGAGAAGACTGTCTCCACACAAGATAGTGGCAAGGGACACCCCGTCCTGCTCTGTCCCCTTGCAGCTCACCTCCTTCAGCTCATTCTCAGGCAGGGCTGCCCTCTCAATGACACTCAGCTTCTTGAGGATGCGCGTGACACTTTGGTCCTGGAAGTCGGAGGGGTCGAACTGCCTGGCCCTCATGCCATACTCAAGGGTGTGCTTGGACATGGCCAAGTTCTTCTCCAGCTGCAAGGGCAGGAGGGGACAGAAGAGGAGTTACTTCAAGGAGATCCCTGAGACACAGTCTATCACTAGGAACACCACCTGGCATGCCATGACTGACAACCTCCCCATGGCTGCCCTAGTAGGTACCTCATGGCATGACAAGGATTTTCATGGAAAAGGCACCTCCTGGGTGAGAACCTTACCCCTTGGCTAGGGGCAGAGGATGCCCTGGTTTTCAGAGCTCATCTGAAACATGCCTTGGGTACCAGCTGCCTGCTTTGGCTGTTGTCTCTCCCCGCACAGCCCCAAGGTCATTCCCATACCATGATCTCCTTGTTGTGGTCAGTGATGTTGGTGTTGTAGGCCCAGGATGCCTCAGTGTAGGCGTTCCACACTGCCTCAGCCGTGCTGTTGTACTCGGACAAGAACTCTTTAGCTTGTGCTTCATCTGCTATTTTGTCTAGAGGAGGAGATAAATGGGGGAAGAGAAGGGGAGTGAGGAGATTCTTTCTCTTTGCAAGAGCACCACCCCATGGAGAAACCATGGTTGAGCTTTTCCCAGAACTGCAGGTCCATTGAAGGATGCCACAACTTGGGAGCAGGTTGAGCCAAGGAATGGGGCCAGAGGGGTCCTGCTGGGGGTGTTCCATTGGATAGGGGACGGGATAACAGGACACACTGCATGCCCTAGACCTTCCCACTTGGGCAGAAAGGATGCAGCTGAAAACAGATGACCTGTCACACCATGACTGATGGCATTACTACAGTGGCACGGCCACAGCTCCAGACAACAGTACGTCAAGAGGCTGGCTAATGGCAACTGCTTCCTGGGAAGCAAAACCCTGTGGGACTCCATGTGGAGTTGGTTATTTCTCTTTCCTGGCATGGATACCTCCCCCACCCACAGCAGAGACCTCCCTCAGCACTGTCCTGCCTGGGGTTAGTGATGTCCCTTGGGAGACTGCTTCCTGCGCCTCCCCAGAGCCAGGATGGAGCTGCAGCCTTACCAATGCCTTCAGGGTAGCCTTCAGGGATAGGGGGGCGCCAGTCAAACTCAGGCCAGCCCAGCACCTCATTGGTCTTGTTGTTCTGCTCCTGAAGCCACTTGGTGACAGGGCTGAAGTACTCCAGGAGGGCCCCAGCATCCATCTTATCCGTGCCAGTGAGGCTGAACAGGATTTCCTGCCATGACTTGGAAGACCCAGCTTTCAACACTTCCCTGCAGAGGAGCGGGACAGCAAGAGCCAGCATGAGGCCAGGGGATGGATGGGAGAAAAGCGGTGATGGTATCTCAGCATTGCAAGGGTTGAAGATGCTATTCCTGAATGGGACATGAACCTACGAACTGCCTCTGAAGCTCCCATCTGTCCTGCATTCTGGAAAGAGGACTCCCCATCACATATGCATTTGTTAACACCCAGGGAGTCAATAGGAACCAAATGTGCTTTAGTGACCTCTTGTCTGGGTGAGAGCTCATGGCAGGGACAATAGCAGTACTCTGGTGAGGACCACTCACCCCACCCTAGTGCTTCCATGTATTTTCATCCATCCATCCATCTGCAAAGCTATTTCTCCAGCCACTTTTCCTTCCTTCCTTTCTTCTTTCCTTCCTTTGCACACCATCAGCTTCCATGCACACATTTGCCCGTGGCAATTGTCCCAACCCTCCTCTGTCCCCACCTGAGTTTGGCTCCAGCTTCTTTGGACATGTAGATGTCACAGGTATGCAGGGGACCACTGTGGTTGGCCGCCTGGCACAGTGCCTTGTGAAACTGGAACTGAAGGATGAAGCTCACAAAGTACCTGCCAAGGAAGTCCATGGAAGGTGAGCACTGGGGACAAAGGGAAGCAGACAAATCCTAGGGTGCGGGGGAATGCACCTGGCCACATGTCAGCTCCCCATAATTTGTGCTCCCAAGCGTTGCATAGTGTTTGTGTCTTGAGCAGGAGCAATGCATCCCAGTCCCTGCCCGCAGAGCTGAGCACCCACTACCTCTGCTCCCCAAGCCTCTGTCCCCTCATCAGCTCTCCTCTACCTGATGTAAGGGGTGTTCCCAGGGATGTGGTACTTTGCTCCAGGGTCAAAATTGCTTTCATTCCTCGAAACCGGAGCACAGATACCCTGGTATTTGGTTCTGCAGACAACAGAGAACAAGAGCATGAGCTGGAAAGAGGGAGGCAGATGAACCAAGGTAGGGAATGGGAAGGGGAGGCTTAAGAAATCTACACAATTAGACTGCACTTCCATGTATTTCCATTCATCCATCCATCTACCCACCTACCCACCCACTCCTCTACCCATCCATCCCACCTGCCCACCCATCTGTGTATCGTTCTCCAGGATCTCCATGGCTACTTTTCCCTTTTTTCCTTCCTTCCTTCTTTGCTGTCTTCCTTGCACAGCCCCAGCTTCCAAACCCCAGGCCACCTCTGGTGACTCTTCTCTACCTCAGATACCACCAGTCGTAGTTGTAACGGTTTGGGGGCGTGCGGCCATTGAACACATTCCAGCGCCACTGGTCAATGAGGTAGCCAAAGGGCAGGAAGGCAATCTTCTCCAAGGCCATCTTCAGCAGATAATTGATGTTGCTCTCTGCATGAAACAGAGCCTGAACCAGGTTGAGAAGGAGTCTGGCTGAACATCACTATGGCCACTAGACATTTTGTGGGCAAGAAGGTGAGTAGATCTGGATGAGAAATGGGGACAGCATTTCAACATATAATTTTGCTCCCTGGAGAATGGTGTTTAGGAAACAGGAAGTTTCTTGTAGATACAGCTCCTACTTGGGGCAACGTGCCTTTTGACTGAGTGGGGACAATGGGAGTGACAAGTGCAGTGTCCCCTTGCCTTCAGCCTGGCTCTGAGTGAGAAGGTCTTTGGTGAGTGTAACTCTAATGGTTCCCTCTTCACACATTCACCCTGGGCCCTCCGGGTTGGCAGCACTGCCCTGAGGGGCTGTTGGCTGCCATCGCTATGGTGGCACAGCTGCCAAGGGCTGGTTAGTCATGCAGCGATGCCTTGAGGCAGGGACCATCTGCTCCGTCGTGTTTATGCAACATCGGTCCAATGCTTTTGGCTGCTGCAATGGCTTTCCCACAATGAAACGTATAAAATGACAAGGCAGGAGGATCCCAAGACTGTCCCTCCTCCGCAAAGCAGACACCTGTGTCAGGAATGTGTGAATGCTTGGTTTGCTCTGCCGCCGTCTGCTTTGACATGTCAGCTGAGAGACATTGGGCGGGGGGAGAGACTCTTGCCAAGCCGGCAGTGCCCTGCGGTGACAAGTCCTCCTCCGCTGTGCCAGCTGGCAGGCAGAAGCATCACCCGCTGACTGTCCTCATGACTGTGCACGTAACTGCTCAGTGCTACTTCCACAGAGCTACACCAGGAGCTCCTGGGGTGGGTGTTTCTTGGTGAGGGAAGGGGCAATGCTGGAAAGGTCAAAGCCGATCAAGCACAAAGATGATGCTTTCATGTTTCGGGGCTCTGATGGAGAATGGAAGGAAACAGACAAGCTCTAGAGAGCATCCCTCCCACTCTCGGGGGTGAAGAGGATGGAGCCATGAAGGGTCCTACATGGACCCGTGGAAACAAGAAGGGGTTGTGCATTGAACTAAGCGTGGGTGAAAAGCACACATCAGCCATGGGGTCTTGCCTGCTCTGGGTTGTGTTGCCAGACTGCAGCCCACCATGGCATGTCCCAAACCCTTCCTGGTGCCACAGGCAGTGCCTGAGGCCTCCAGGCCACCCAGATCCCCAGGATCACTGCCATACCTGCATCCTCGGTGGCACTGTTGAGGAGACCGATTTTCTTGAGGTGGCTGGGGGTGGAGACAGACAGGGACAAGACATCGCCAATGGCCTCATGGAAGCCAGGGTTGGCCCCTCTGCGGAAGGAGACAGGCTGGTCCTTGTACTGCAGGTAGTACTGAACGTGACCCATCTCATGGTGCACCGTGAACAGCTGCTCCATGGTTACCGTCGTGCACTGCTTGATCCTGCCGGGTGAAAATAGAGCATTGCCTGAGCTGAGTGAGGGACCCCAGCTGCTTGTGCACCCCCTCGATGGGAAGGACCCTCCACAGTCCCTGAGAGGGTGGCAGCACCCAATGCAGTAGGGAAAAGACCCAGTGGAGGGGAAGGCAGGGCAGCAAGGTGCCCCAAGACCTTACCCCAGAAGGTGACAAGTTGGGCTGCGCGGCCAGGCTGAGGGTACCCAAAATGGTGACCACCAAGGGGGATGGAGGAGGGTCTTACCCTGTAGCCCTGGGCCCCAGCATGTCCCCACACACCTGAAGTCCTTGCGGTTGTAGAAGTCCCAGGCCGAGGCATGACACACCACCTCCCGCCCGTCTGTTGGCTTCTCCAGCATGGACTTCTCCCAAAATTCAGGGGGCATCTCCAGCAACCCCAGGGAGGTGAAGAACTCCTCTGAGACCCGGAACATGTGGGTGGCATTCCAGCCCTGGTGGGCAGCAGGCAGTGGGTTATGGCTGAGGAAGGGGCTGACCATGCCCTGGGCATTGCCTCTGATGCTCTCACAGCACCATGGGGATGATGTGGGTCTTCAAGGGACAGGGGTCCTGCCCCTCTCACCCTGATGGGGAGCCCTGGCCCCAGAATTGGTGTGAGCATCCCTAAGAAGCACCAAGCAATGGTTCTGGTGCCCAGCATGGACAGGAGAAGGGAGCAGGGCTGGTGCCCCAGGAGTGCTTGGACCTGTGTGATGGTGTAGACGCAGCCCCCAACCCAGGGACTGGCGCCAGTCCCACTGCACTATCCTTCCTCTTTGCCCACCCACTGTCTCTTTGGTCATTGCCAGAGGGGGAGTGGGGTCATTTCTTTGTCCCTTTCCCTCCCAGACATGGCTCTTCTGCTGTCCCCTATGCAGGTATGAGAAACTACTCCCATGGGGTCAATGTTATGGGCAAGCCTTGGCCAACACGCCCCATTTTTGTCCCCCAGTGCCACCAGTGAGTCCCTCAGGCCATCACCTGCTGCACCATGGTGCTCGTGACATCAAGGTTGGGCTTCTCGGGGTAGGGGACCATAAGGTCATAGATGTTGTTCCACTGCTGAGCCCACATGTTGCCTGAGAAGAGAAAACAGCTGGAGCAGAATTGGTGGTAGGTTGGGACGAAACGAAACACGGTGATAACTGGGACTTTCCTGTCCCACTATGGCCTTGCATGTGCCCCTCGCCCTACCAGCACCCCTGGGCACAGGCTGGGAAGGGTGCCTCCTCTTACCCAGGAGGTGAGCAGGGATGGGACCCTTCAGGTTGATGTATTTGGGGCCATAGCGGTCGTACAGCTTCCTCCGGACGAAGGCATGGTTCCAGCTGGTTGTAGAGATGCTCCAGGTCATCCTCGAAGGAGGCTGAGTCATACCAGGAGCGCCAGTAGCTGCCTGTGTCCTCAAATCCTGCCAGGGAGGCAGTAATGACCTCTGGCTCCAGCCTGCAGGGGCTGCCCCCCACCCAACCCCAAGAGCTGGGACCAGGGAACAGCAGCAGGATTTTGGCCCCTTCCCCAGAGTGTTGGCACCAGAGAAATGGAAATTGGATGCCTGGCTGCATGCAGGATGGGGAGAGCAGCAGGGCACCCCATTGTCCCGGCCCCAATTCCCACCTCTGATGCCTGACCATGCCCTGCATCCCCCCATCCTGCTCATACCATCCATCTGATAGGCCTCGTTGCTCAGCTTCACGAACTCCTCGTACTTGGCACGCAGTGGGTTGCCTGCAGCATTGTGCCACCCCTCCCAAGCATAGAGCAGCTTCTTGTAGCTGCGGGAGGTGGCCATGATGTCCGAGAGGTCTGGGACAGAGGGGACATGTAGGACATGAGAGAGGGGCAGGAGAGGGAGTCACATCCCACAGTAGCTCTGCAGAGGTGCCACCGCCATCGGGCCAGACCCAAATATCCATCCTCGTCCCGGGACAACCCTGATGAACATGGGTGGGACCTGCCAACCCTAGCCCACTGGGGATGTGGGGACCAGGACAAACTCATGGCCATAAGGTGCTCAGCACCCCACAGGGGCAGAGGGACAAGGACCATACCTGGCTCCAGCTCCCAGCAGGTACCATTGGCCAGGCACACCTTGGCCGTGGAGTAGATTTTGTCCATGTTGCTCAGGATGGTGTTGTACTGCGGGGAAGGAAAAGATGTTGGAGCTGGAAGGGCATGGGAATGGCCCTTCAGGAGGGATCTACAGACTTCCCAGCTCTGGAGCGCGTGTGTGTGTCCAAAGGGATGTGGAGGAGGATTGGTGTGTTTACACAGTGTGTTTTTGGTGAGATAAGCATGTTATCACTCAGAGTTTTATACCCTTCACATGGTGGGAGTAGGGAGGCTCTTTGGGACAAGCAAACCATGCACAGCCACTCGCCTAACACCCCTCGAACATGGCGTGAGCGGTTGTGGTGTCCCAGAGTGGGGCTATTTATAAAGCTCTTTTTGTCAGCGGGGCTGCAGCACGGCCTGTTTATCTAAGCGGGTTAAAAAAAAAATAAGAAAAACAGGAGGAGGAGGATGATTTATTTCTGTGAACTTCAACAACAGCAAACAATAGCAACAGGAGGTTTCCTGGAACCTGCCTGGGGAGCCCATTCCCAGGGAAGGAAATTCCTCTGCTCTGTCCCCCTCTCCGCTCCCATCCCTCTGCTCTGGCCAGGCAGAGGAGATGGAGACAGGCAACAGTGGCAGCTGCAGGATGGAGCTGCCCGGGGACAGGCGAAATGTGGCAGATGTGCAGGGAGGAGACATAATGTTGTCTGTTATCTGCGAGAGGGCAGGGATGGGTTTCCTGGAAGGCACCGGGGCCAACGCTTCTCTGGAAAGGATCTTATCACTGGGCTATGCCAGGGTTTCGGTGGAGAGGGCTGTCAGGGAGCCATGGGCCAGGCTGGAGGGGACAGCAGTGCCAGTGTCCCTGCGCTTGTGCAGAGGCAAGCGGCTGCCAGCCTCAGCCTTGGCAACATTTTCATGCATGGAAATCAAAATCACATTCCATTTAGGTAAACACCCCTGAAAGCTCAGGACCATGATGGGGAGGGCTCAGGATGTCCTTATGCTTCTAGTGCAGAGCTGTGTCACTTAGGCACAGCATTTGTGGCCTCGCAGGGAGGGCTTAGGAGCCGGGTGGCTGCAGCAGCCTTCCTTTCCAGTGGGCTGCATCCCTGAGGAGCGCTGGGGAGTGGGGGTTGAGCCAGCTGGCCCCTGGCCATAGGCACAGCGTGGCTGGTCTCCAGGTGACGCCCAAGATTGCTCTGTGTAAGCAGGAAATCCCCGATTCCCACTGGGATAGCTCTGAGAGGAGGTTAGGGCTGGATAATGGGGCCAGCAGGCACCCCACCTCCCCTGGAGATAGTACCCCATCGCCCCTCTCCATCACTGTCTTTCCTGCACAGAGGCCAGGGAGACCCTCCAAAATGCAATGGAGGGGCAACGGGCCAGCAACCAAGTCTGGAGGCTTGGGAAAAGTCCCTTTAAGGGGTTTTGCAGCACCACAGCAATGCCCAGGGCTTCACCAGCAACTCTCCTACCTGTTCTCTCTTCTCCAGGGGCAGGTTGGAGGGTCCCAGGGTCTGGATGGAGCCAATGATTTTCCTCAGCTGCAGATCACTGAAGTTACTCCAGATGCTGCCATAGAGCTCCTTGGCTTTCTTCCCCCACAGCTCCGTGAAGTTTTGCTCCTCCAGCGATGCCTCGACCTGCACGGCGAGAGGGGACATGGGGACTCAGGACCAGCCCTGGGACATGCCACCACCCAGGTGATGGTTTGGGGGCTGGGTTCAGAGCCATGAGGGTTTGTGGGAGGCAGAGGGGATGGGACACAAGGTGGCAGGCAGGGCTGTCCCCAGTCCGTGACATTCATAGATTATAGAGACATCAGCTTCTAGCTGACATGGCAATGATGTCTGAAGCCCCCGTTCGCCTGTGGTGCTCCCAGCAAACACCCACCAAGGTGGCCTTTGAGGATGTTTTGGAGGTGGCTCCGGGGTGTCGTGGCCTGGATGGAGTGGAGATGTTGGGACAGGGGTGTCCACACCATGCAGGCAGGGTGTCTGGGTGCTCCCGGGCTGGCTCTGGCAGCTGCCAGACCCCAGTTTCAGAAGGAGCTCTGAGGTCTGTCTTCATTTTATTCCCATTCTTGATGTTTCACACCTTTGCAGAAGCCCAAAGGAAAACTACAAAGATGCCACATTCACTTTTCTCCTTCCTATACCTCCTTGCTAGATCTATACCTTTCTCCTTTGGCTATCTGCAGCCTGTGTCCTGTAAGTGCCATATCTGGGTTTCACCTTGCAGAGGGGCACCCATTTGCACCGAGCCCCCAGTTTTGGGTCTCTCACTGTCGCCCATCTCCTGCCAGCCCTGACCTCCCTTCCCAGGGCTGTGGGACGGCAGGGAGCTGTCTGCACCGCAGGGGGTTATTTAGGCAGCTGAAGCCGTGGCCAACGGCCACGATTTTGGGATGGGGTGTAGTGCAGGAGGTTGCATCTCAGCCCAGCCAGTGTCAGCTGTATTTTCGGGAAACACTGGTCTTTCAAGAGTGTCCCGGCCCGGGCCATGCGCAGGATGGAGTGAGAAGGTGCAGAGAGCCTGTTCGCTGTCCGTGTGCCATCGTGGTGTGATTTATGGAGCTCATTAGCTGTTATTTGTGGCATTTTTAGCCTGGCTCCAACAAGCCTGGTTTGTTTTATTTTAATCTTCACATTCCCTTGGCTGGCAGCAGGGAGGGAAGGGAGTTACGGCGCAGCAGGCCTGGAGGCTGCCCCAGGATGGAGGCTGACACGGGGGTGGGGATGCTGAAAGTGCCGGGTGCCCCTGGCTGCCCACTGCTGGGCACCCACTGCCTCCCTCGGACATCCCAGCACCCACAGTATCACTCTGGGTACCAACCAGCCCTGATCCCCTGACATGTCGGGATGCACCAGCCCCATGGACACCCTGCACTAGAGCAAGATGCTCTTGCATCGCCCCACTAAACGTGTGATATCTTTACCCCTTCCCAGACCCCCCTGCAGAGCCGGGGGAGCTGTAGGAAGCAGAGTACAGCTGTGTTTCATCTTCTCCTTGAACAGGCACCTGTGTTTGGTCAGGCGAATCGTACCCTAAACTCTCCTGACAGCTCCGGCGGAGCGAGGGGAGGCCGGTGGCGCTACCCGAGACCCCCTTGCCACAGCCGTACTCACCAGCCCTGGTCCTTTGCCACCGCAGCTGGGAGCTCTCTCTGTGGGGGTGCCCCTTTGTGGGGCTCAGAGGCCCCTGGTTGCTCACAGCCCCCAAGTCACCCTACCAAAGCCCCCCCCCAGTCCCTCCCTGCTCCTGGTTGCACAGTGAAGATTCAGCAGTGCAGGATTCAGCTCAGGGTGCTGGGGCTGCTCTGCCCTGGGTACCCAGAGAAGTCCTGCACCCATGAGCAGCCCTTGAACCCCAAACACCATCGCCTGCCTCTCACCCAGAGCCCCAGCTTGCAGGAGGTGGTACATCTCCCTCTCCTGCGTCTGAGCTCCCTGTCTGTCATTCCAGAGTCCCTCTGTCTGTCCCTGCATGGCTGCATGCCCTGTCTTCAGCCTCTTGCCCCTCCACGTCACTTTGTCCTGGGGCCACCTTTCGTAGCAGGTCCCGGAGGAGCCCTCACCATGGCAGCCTGGCTCAGGTGTTATAGATGGGGGGGGTTTGCCTGGCCCAGAGGTTCCCCAGATCCCCCACATTCAGCGTTTCAGGTTGTGCTGGCCAGCTGTTAACCCTTTAGTACTCAGTGCCTCCCCATCCCATGGCACACCTCCCTGCTGCCCCATCGATGGGCTGATCTCAGGGCCAGATCCCCTCCTCTTCCTGGGCTGGCTTGGGAGCCTTGACATGGCAGGGAGCACTTGGCTGTGATCCTTGGGCATTTATTAACACAGGAAAGCATTTATGACCACAGTAAAGAGTGAGAGCTGGCCTGGAAATGCCCCTTAAGAAAAGTCCATGCAAGGTGCTTTCCTGGCCCTAACCTTGGACTTGGCACAGCTGGGATGCTCCCGTTCTGCCCCAAGGTTCCCAGCCGTGCCGCAGCATCTGTCCAGACATCACGTCAGCTTGACAAAAAAAGGCTGAAGGGGCACCTGGGTGCTCTCGGGTGTCCTGCCAAGTTGGCAGTGGCCAGACCTGGCGGCAATCTTCCCCCCATGCAGGAAGATGTGCTTCCTTCCTGCCGCAGGGCACACTGTGCCCCTGCCCTGTGGGATCCGGAGGGGTTCGGTGCTGTATGGCAGCCCTAGGGGCATGGGGGTGATGCTGGGGTCCCTGAATGCATGTAAGGGCTGCACTGACCCCCATGCACCACTAGCTATATGGGGTGGCAGGTATATCTCCAAGCTGCATGCAGTGCCGTGGCTGTGCCCCCCACACCGGGGCAGCCAGCAGCTCCCTGGGCACAGCAAGAGCCGGGAAACCTCTGCAGCCTGCCCAGGCACCGTGATTCCCCAGCCTGTGCTGAGCAGGGGCCATGCTGCAGCTCACCCAACCAAGAGAAGCCTCTGGGCTGCTCAAACTCCCTGCCCTGCTGAATCCAGACTGAAGATATGCAAACTCCCGGCCAAACATGCACATGCCTGCAGGATGCACACAACATCGCTCCCTGCTGGGGCTCTGCTGGGCTGATGGCAAATTCCCAGTAGCACGGAGTGTTTCCCCGAAGCCAGCTTCATCCCCACGGGCTGGGGACACAGGGACTGGGGGTGGCAGCCTCGGTCCTGATGCCTCCCTCTTGCCTGTGCACGCTTTGGATGTCTGCCCCAAACCAAAAGCCCCCGGCCCCGGGACATGGCAGAGCTCTGGCATGGCACAGTGCTGGGAGGTGGTGGCACCAGGCAGGGACAGGGACGGGGACAGGGACACTTGACACCTGACCCCGGTCTGGGAAGGGAGGGAAGGAAAGTGGAAGGTGCTGGGAGGAAGGAACCACCTCTAAAAATAACCTGGACTCTGCTCTGGGACCAAGGCTGTCACTCCAGGGCAGAGCCTCTCCAAGGATCAATTTGGGGCAAAAACCTGAGGTTCCCGGACTACAAGTCCCAGCCCTGGTTTGCCATCCTGGGGTGCTGAGACAAGAGCCTGCAGGGAGGAAGGGGACCATGCCAACTGTCCCCACCATGTCCCAGCCTCCCCCCAGTCCCCAGTGCTGGGGACGCCCCCGCGGTGGCATCGCCCCTGTCCCGCCACCCACCTGCAGAGCAGCGTTTTCGGCTGTCAGGTTGGTGTAGTAATCCCAGCTGGCTGAGACGCTGTCGAAGAGGACGAGCTCGGCCGTGCTGTTGTAGGCGCTGGCGAAGAGGGCGGCCCCTTTCTCGGTGGGGTCATACTGGGGGGGCTCGAGGCCGGGCCGAAGGGCACTCGCCAGGCTCAGCCCCAGCAGCAGTCCCAGCGCTGGGGACATCGTGGTGGGAGCAGTGCACGGAGCTGGGGGGGCCCCGTTCAGTGCCTTGCAAGACAGCTTTGCCTCTGCTGCCGGCTGCTTATAAGCGAGCAGCCTTCGCGCAAACCCTGCCCACTGAGCCTGCCTCCCCTCACAGATAAGACCGGAGCATTTTGCTCTCCCTTTGGCAGCTCCCAGGCTTGCGGGATGGAGTGGTGAGCAAGCGCTGCCTTGGAGTGCAAAGTCACTTTGGCGCCTGGCCGCACTGGGAGGGAAGGGGAAGGGGCTGGGACAGCAGAGAGGGAAGGAGATAGAGAAGAATCAAGGGAAAGGTGGAAAAAAGAGAAAGGAGGAGAAAGGCTGGGGTGGATGGGGTGGGTGGGAGGCAGCTCCATCCTTGCAGGGTCCCGATCCCCTCCTGGCTTGGTGCAGGGGGATCCAGCTGAACCAGACCATGGTGCTTGCAGGACATCCCCTCAGCAGCGCCCCGGCCACCCGCCGTGGGGCACGAGGGCAAGCACGACGTGGAAAGCACTCACTTGGGGGGCAGCCAAGGTCCATCTCCCGTTGCCTCTTGCCAAAGCAACGCCTTCCCAGCATAACCTCATTTTTCAGAGAAACGGAGTATTTCTGCTGGCTGTGAAGGAAATCCCATCACATCACACCAGGTGTTTTGAACTTGGAGGAATTAGGCTGATGACAAATGAGTAACAAAAAGTTCCGTCAAGATGAAAACCAGACCTGTGTCAGTGGGCTTGATAGTTCCTTTCTTTTTTTTTTTTTTTTTTTTTTCTTTTTAATTAACTAAATCCCTTTCCCCCAGGGCCTGGCCCCAGCCAGTGTCAGGGCCACCACCCCATAGGGACACAGCGGACACCTGCCACAGAGGGGAGAGCATTTTTTGGGGGGACAGAGGGAAACTCCTTGACTTGTTGGCCCCACTGGGCACTGCAGAGCAGCTGGGCACCACCACAGCCCCTCAGCATGAACCCACGGGGTGACCCCATGGAGATAGCGTGGCTCCTCGACAAGGGGCAAGTCCTCCTGCCAGGGCTGGGAACCCTATGGGGTTTGCAGAGCCATTTCCAAAATAAAAAAGCAAGGGATTTAGGAGTCCGCAACCCTCTGATATCTATTAAACCTCCCTCCAAAAATCACAGCTTCCCACCCTGCCCTACCACCCACCACCTGCACTGGCTGACATGGGCACCCAACCAACCTTCATCCCCCCCCCAAACCTGAGCCCATACGGATGTGCAACAGCACCGGCATTGCCTGTGAGCCTGGACATCACAGAGCCAGGGGCGAAGCCAGCATCTGCCTGCAGCCCCCCCTTGCCGATCCCTTTCCCACCGGCCACAGGTCTCTGGAAACTCAAGTTTACTGGGAAGTTGGAAAAAATGGTTGGTTTGGCTCCAATTTGGCTGGTGACCAAGCGCCAATGAATGGAGATTTCCTGTGCCCCACCAGCCTCTGTTCCCAGCTGCACTGGGGAGGGGTTTTCCCAGCTCCGGGGCATTGAGGTGCAGCCTCCGGCACTGGTGGGGGTCTCTGGTGAGCGGCGCAGCCAAAACAGGCTCTGCAATCCCAGCGCGGCACTAATATCTGGAAATCTCAGCGAGGGAGGCATTTTCCAAGGTTGGTGTTTCTGATGGGTGATCCCACAGGGGAAGGGCAGCTCTCCATCATTTTGCACATGATCATCTTCCAAGGCTGGTGCAAGAGGGGCTGCTGCTGCTGCTGTGGGACTTTGTGTTGGGCAAGGGGTCCTCTCAATGGCTGCACCTCCAAGGATGCCCGCAGCTCTGTGGCATCCCATTCTGTAAAGCTCCAGCTGGGATTAGGCAGAAAAACATCCTACATGCAGGAGAGTGCTGGCAGGTGAAGCGGCTGTTGGCCCAGAAAGGCAGGTGAGATGCCTGCAAGCTTCAAGACGCCCATTGGTCCCTCTGTGCTGCCCTGAATCCATGCTGTGCCCCAGCACCCACCAAGGACGGGTTCAGAGACACCTGTGGGACACCCTGCAGAGCAAGGGGACCAGTCCCTGCTCTCCCCACCCCTCTCAGGGGTGCTGGGGTGGGTGATGGATGCCCATCTGCTCCCAGCGTACAGGGTACCTGGGGCTGCCAGTGCCACAGACCAGAGGGACAAGAGGTATCGAAGGATGTGAAAAATGTGTTGCCACGAAAAAAAATGAGGACATGGGCTCGAGGGACGCTGGGCGAGATTTGGTGTCCCCAGCAGCTGCCCTGTGCTGGGAGGATGCTTCCCCTCAGCTTGCATTGCCATCACCAGCTGCATGGAGACGTTGTCCTCCCCCTCCCCAGAGCATGTGTGTGCAGAAATGTGTGCGATGGCCGGACTGTCACTGCAGCACATCACGGGGTGCAGCTGCAGCGGTGCCTCACTTGCGAAGGAGCATGACTTGCTCTCAGCATTTTGGATCAGTTCGTTGGCTTGCCAGACCTGCAAAGTCTCTCTGCCCACTGCCAGCAGTGCTGGCAGGGGCACCCACTAGTTCAGCCCCTGACCCCAGACTCCCCAAAATAAGGAAATAAGGAGTTTGACAGCAAATATTTCTTAGGGGAGCTGTAAGGTATCAACTGTGACAGTGGTGTGATGGGAGAGAGCGAGCAGGGGTGGTTGTGTGAAGGAGCAGGTATTTGGGATGGCCCCAGTGCTGGCTGGGAAGATTTGGTGATTTTTCTGCATATATCCCAGCCCTATGGCCTCTGACTGGGGATGCTCAAGCCCAATTGTTCCCTTCTTTTATTATCATCAACCACATTTTTGGCTTCCTCATCCCATTTCTCAAGGCATTCAAGGGTGCTTCAACTCCTGTCTGATCCATCTCTCTGTTTGAGCAACCAGGGAGCTTCTGGAGGGGAGAGAAAGGATTCCCTCCTGATTTAAACCTCAAAAAGAGCTTTTTTTATTGGGTGTGTAGCCTTGTGTGTTACTTTTCCTGATGGCTCTGGTTTTGTGGGCACGATGGTTCCTGCGCCTGTTGGTACAAATCACGGTGTGGAGAATTTTTTCCTCCTTCTCCAGACCCTGAGCTTAAAGGCTCCTGCTTTATTTACTGATGAATTCAATGAATTATCATAGCGTATAATTCGCTAATCTGCTTTCCCAGATGTGGTGATGCTGCTGTGAGGGAGAGAGGAAAAACCACCTTTCCAGTCCAAATTTTTCATCTAAACAAACAGCTTTTCTTCTGATCCTTTCAAAAAAAAAAAAAAAAAAAAAAGCCACATCCCAAGAAACTGGGGTTTTTTTGCCATTTATTTCAGACCTGTGATCGCTAAATAAACTATGAACCGTTAGAGTAAGTGCTGCGGCCAGTGCAGCCCCTTGATGTCACCTGGGTTTGGGGACTGGGATGGCAAGAGGGACTCAGGAGTCCTCGCTCCTGGGTCCTGCTGCCTGACTGCAAAATATCTCTGCTGAGGGTTTTAGGCAACACTGTGGGACTGTTTCCATCTTCTCCCTGGATAAAAGATGTATTTAAAGCATGGTGTGTCCCCTCTGCATGGGGACAGGGTGCAATGGGGCACGAGGCATTGCTGCTTTATCACAAGAAGTGCTCACTCAGCTCTTGCCAGAGGCTGAACACAGCAGAAACGCTCCTTATCGGCACAATTTCCACCCTGGCCCACAAAAACACTTTCCAGCACACGCCTGCCCTAGGACAAGGGTTTATGGCCCCGGGGACGCTGGTCCTGACGTGGGCGTGGGGGGACACGTGAGCATGGGGCAGCCCGAGCGAGCAGGACCATGTGTTTCCCCCAGCCTCAGCGCTGGGCAGCTCGGTGGGGCCGGAGGCGGATGGGAAAGGGATGGAGATGTCATTTCCACTGTAGGATCTCCTCAGGCTCCGCCCCCCAGGCTGGGACCAGCACCAGCAGCCCAAGGATGTGCTATGACATTGCAAGGCCCTGAAAATGCAGCGTGCTGAAGGCAGCTGTCAGCTCAGGGCCCCTAAATCATGCCCACATCTTGGGAGGGTTGTAAATAAATGCAAGACCCTGATAGTCAGCCCCTGGGGATCCCCCAGCCACAGTGCAGGAGATGTGCCCAGTGCCAAGCATGTGGCTGGGAGCATCATGGGGCAAGAAGTAAAAGCCTGGCCAGAAATCATCCCTCCTCCTTCATCCCTCATCCTTTGTCCCTCATCCTTCATCCCTCACCCCTCCTCTTTCATCTCTCATCCTTCATCCCTCCATCCCCCTTTCCTCACCAGCCAGCCAGAGCTGGGCACTGGTACAAGGTGATCGAAGAGGCCAATGTCTTCCCTGCACACACATCAGCCCAATAAAACATGGCAAAGTCTATTATTTCCACCTTTTTTTCCCTTTAATATCTGAAAACAATCCCAGCCCCGAGGCGAGTGAGTGCGACTGCTCTGGGAGCATTAATCATCCACTGTGAACCCGGTGCGGGTTATCATGGCTGTTTATCCTAGCTGCTATTAAAAAATTGCCATAAATGCACCTTCAGCCTCTTCTGAAAGAGATTAAGTGTTTGCACTGGCTGCACTGATTGTATCGCCCACCTGGCTCAACTAAGTTGTGTTCCCGGCAAGGAGGAGGACAGGGTGGCTTAATTGCTGCCAGGAGGAGAACCAGGGTCTTTTCCAGCTGGGCTGCTCTGATCCCCGGCCCAGGAAGGAGCTGGGTTCCCAGGGGAGCTTTGTCCCAGCTGGGAATCACCCATTTTTCAGCCTTCATGGGACCCCAGGGAACTGGGGACCAACCCCCGCAACATGACCCAGTGGGACAATTTGTGCTTAATCCCGAGCTACCCTGCAGCCACTCCCTTGGCAGCCACAGAGCCTTCCAACATGACTGCTACTTTTTTCTCTTATATTTAGTGAAAAACTGTTAATTTTGCCCCAGGTTTGTGGTTTTGTGGGGAACTGTGGCAGCTGGGGTTGTTTCAGGCAGCAGTTCGGCTCCTCCAAGGCAGCTGGGCTCTTGAATCGCAATCCTCTGGGGAGGCATCTTGGAAATTAGCATTTC